AAAATTATATAACATTAGAAAGAGAAAAAAGACTATAGTGTCCATTTCTCGGAAGAACGAGGCGGTAAAAAGACTCACGAGTGGAGGAAAAAGCTTCTCGGCAGCTCTGCGAGGAACCGAGAAACCTCCGTGGGTGCTTGTGTCACTTGCAGTTAGGGTTTTACAGAAGAACTCGTTCGGATGCTTGCTAGTTCTCAGACCAAAGTCTGGCACAGGGAACACATCTCTTTCCTGATGCAGAGAGAGTTTAAAACTTTGAGAGCCGAAATCTTACAGAACAGATGGAAGAGGAAGTTGTGGGAACCGAAGCTTACAGAGTGTACAGGTTGAAGACTCATCTGGGCATAGATTTCATCTGTATCTTTGTCTGCCTACCAACAAAGAACAATAATGGTTAAGGTAAAATTCAAACCTCGTACTATACTTACACAGAGCAAAGATCATGTCTTACATGAAGTGTAACATTATGAACTTGGCACATCAATTGGGAAGGAAGATTTGGATAATTGGGAACTTGGGTTGTTGCTGATCTTCTGGTTGAAACAGCCACCTGACCAATCAAAAATTACACATTTCCATGGATGATCATAAGAACTGAAACGAGCTGTTAACCCCAACAACGTATAAGAAAGATCCGACATTGTCACATCAAAATCCAATTCTAGCTCAGGCAAGATTTCTCAGACACAGATCAAACAACCCGGGACTCAGATAATCAAACATCTCTTTTAGGATCCGACAAAAAGAGTAACCCTTTTGCCCGGAAAGCAAAGAAATCCATCGAAAAGTCCATAAAGGCCATCTCCTTCTTTCAAGTTCAATCCATAAAAGACCATAATCTTCTTTCTGAGTTCAACTATGATACTGTGTATCAACAACTCCAGAGCAATGTTTGTTCCAAGAACAGGAGAAGAAGCAGTTTTTTTTATGAACACAGACCTGTTCGCTATGCCCTTGTGGGAAATAATACACGAGACTCCCAACTTGAGGAAGACTGACCAACGGGCCTGCACACGCGTGCCATAGCTCTGAATTTATTACAGCCTTTCTCGTTCCTGAAATTACAAAACAGTTTGAACCCAAAAAAAGACATCAGCTTTCAGTTACTATGTAATGTTTGAGAAATTGTGGAAACCCTTTTCTTGTGATTCGCATTTGGTCGATCTTGTTTCGAGCAATTTCAGACCATTGGGGACCGTTTGGACAGAACAAGAAGATAAAGATCGGAGCTTTTGTTGGTTAACATACCACAAAGGATGTTTTTTTGGCTCTTTACTAGAAAAGAACAAGTCTTTATGTGAGTTTTCAGACGAACCCTAATGATAATCAGTGCTTAGCGAATGAAGAACAACAAGTCCTCAGGCGAATTCTCAAGCGAACTTTGAATATAATCAGAGATTCAGAATGGAAAAAAGAAGCAAATATTCAGACGAGTGAAGAGAGAGAGAGAGAGAGAGAGAGAGAACATAACCTGACTGATCCTGCATTTCTTTCAACAGCTTCATCTCTTCAAGTAGAGTAGTTTGCTGTGTTGTTGCTCCTCCATTACCCAAACCATTATTAGTCTTGATCGTGTCTTCAACACAAGCCATTCTATGGAGATTCTGCTCTCTCTCTCTCTCTCTCTCTCTCTCTCTCTGGGGTAGAGAGTCTGAACAAGATCACCGGTTTACAAAAGCATTCATTTTTACCGGTAACCAAGCAGAGGAAAGAGATTTCGATTCACAAGAAGAGACAAGGGACCTATGAACAGAGCACACTTAGCAACCCAAAACCAGAGGAATTAAAGATAACCCATTTCATGGAATGTTCGGGTTTTTCTCTCTCAGAGTACTCCAAATTCGAAGGACAAACCGCCCTGCAATTACATAAACAGAAAAAGGAATCGAAAGAGAACCAACAAAAAGGGACTACACAGAGAGACAAAGCATGTCTTCTGGTGGGGCTTTTGCCTCTGCCCCCAATCTCTCTCTCTCTCTCTGGCAGACAAAATTCGACCTTTCAACAAAGAAAACACCAAACTGCAATAATCGACAGAGGTTCTTCTTCTTCTTGGTTGCAGCAAGAACGATGAAGAGAAAAAAGCTTGGCTTTATCTCTCTGAAAAGGCCACACCTTTCTTCTCACTCGCGCTCTCTCTCTCTCTATATATATATAGACGGGTCCAAACGTATGCGTATAGGTGTGTATGCATAGATTTGCTTGGAAATGGGAAA